TACGGGAGATTCATTTACAAGCCTTCAATATCTTTTCCGTGTGTCAAAGCAGTCCATATCGACTATTGTGCCAGATGTTTGCAATGCAATAATAGAGAGTCTTGCAGAATATGTAAAGGTAAGTTAAAACAAATAGATATTAATAAAGATACTTTATTACTTATTTGGTTACACAAGTCGTAAACGATCACCAATATCATCAGAGGTTTCTTCACACTGGCTACCAGTTTATTCTGTTATTATGTTTGGTTGCTATGCAGCCCTTGAAGTTTCAACTGAGGCAGGTGAAGATAAATATAATAATAATATTTATTTACTCAATGTACAAAGATAACAAACAATATGAGTAAATAAATATAAAATCAAAACAGGCCCAATAGAAGGCATCGCCTGTACATGGACCAATAATTTAAGTTGAAACTGTAGAATGCAAATGACAAAAAAGGACAAAAATTAGCTACAGTAGATTATGTATTTAGTTGATGTTCGTATTTATGAGTTTATGAATTTCAGTCCTAGATATAGAATGTAGCCACTTTTTTAAATTTCTTTTGAAACAATTTCCGAAACGTAAATCTTTTAAGTCTTTAGGTATAATTTCATAAAATTTAGGCGCTAAATAGAGATATGATCGCTGCATTATAGATTTATGCGGTTGAGGAACTACTGTGCCACGAATTTTGTACCTGGTATAATGATTATGTTTAATTTTTTGGTCGGTGTTTACAAATTTATGGTAGTGAGTGATACTGTGTAAGAAATAAAGCTATCTTATATCATACATTCGAACATCTGCATATAATTTTTCAGTGGGATAAAGTTTCGGTTTTTTAAATATCATTTTTAGAATACTTTTTTGAAAAACATCTAAATTATAGATATGTAAGGAACATGCAGCTCCCCATGCTAATATACCATATGTGAGATGAGGCTCAATCAGTGCATGGTATAATGTTCGAAGATATTTTTCTGTCAATATATTCCCAAGGTATTTAATTTTGTAGGATACAAATCTAACTTTCTTTAAAATATAATTGACATGGATGTCCCATTGTAAGTGAGGATCCAAGACCACTCCAAGGTATTTTATGTTGGGCACTCTATTAATTTGCATTTTTTGATCATTAATATTGAAGGAAAAATTTGTGTAATATGGTAGATGTCTAGCATAAGATCCAAATGGTAAAAAATGTGTTTTAGAGTAGTTAATGCTTAATTTTCTACTGTTAAACCACCGAATAATTTTGATAAAATCACTTTCAATTACATTTTTCAGATCAGACCCGTCAGTGCCTTCATATAATATTGCAGTATCATCTGCAAAACTAGTTATTTTGCCAACACAATTAATTTGGAAAATATCATTTAAATATATATTGAATAACAGCGGACCTAAGACAGTTCCTTGTGGGACACCACACTTAATATACATTTCTTTACTAAATGATCCTGATATCTGTACAGATTGTGGGCGATTTGACAAATAACTTTCGATCAGTGAGTACGCGTTCCCTCTGAAACCAACTCTCTCCAATGCTTCTAATAATAATTTGTGATTAACTGTGTCGAAAGCTTTCTTTAAATCAACAAAAATGCAGATTGAAGGGATTCTGTTATCAATATTTTGATATATTTGATTTACAATTTTAGTTATTGCGTCCGATGTAGCCTTCCCTTCTGTAAATCCATATTGATTTTCACTTAAAATTTTGAATTTTGTGAGGTATCGAATCATTCTAGTAGATAAAACTTTTTCAAAAACCTTTGCTACACTGGATATTATTGATATTGGTCTATAGTTGTTAACATCTGTTTTTGTTCCTGATTTATGTATCGGTATTAAATTACCTTTTTTTAAAATTGAGGGATATATGCCAGATTCAAAGCATTTGTTGATTAGGTAAGTGAGTGGTTCTGTTATGCTATAATTTTCAAATGCTCGCTTTTAATACCATCGAACCCAGGACTTTTCCGATTTTTTAAGGACATAACAGTGGTGTATACTTCACATTGTTCGACTTTATCCAAAATAAATGAGTTCAAAGTTCTTTTTGTACATTTGCTTGTATATTACTTGCTAAATTTTCGCCTATGTCAGTAAAGAATTGTACAAATTCATCGCATATCTGTTGAGTATTTTTTAATACTGTTCCCGATGTTGTATTTAACTCAGTGACACACTCTTTAAATTTTGTTTTCCCAGTAATCTCATCAATAGTTGTCCAAAGCCGCTTAGGATCATTTAAGTTATTATTCAATTTATTTAGGTAATGTTTTCGTTTGGTTTGCCTTGCAAGCTCTATAAATTTATTTTTATATTGGTTGTAACAGTCGGTATTCTCTGTAGTTGGCGTTAGTTTCATTACATTATATAGTCTTTCTTTTTCTATTGCCGATGTTATTAATCCTTTGGTAATCCAGGCATTTCTGCTTTTCTCTTTGTGACTAATTATTACTTTATTGGTACTAATATCTATTAGTTTTTTTATTTTCTCTATGAACAGTCCCGTTGCTTTGTCTATATTATTTATAGAGTATAATTGTTCCCAGGATTCTTGTTTGACATTTGATATTAGTTTTGAATTGTCGACAAAAAATTTGTAATTTTCCTGGTTGTTATTAACGGTAGGGATGTTACAATGTTTTTCATTTGAAGATATCAGTAAAATAGTGGAGAAGTGGTCAGTAATATCGCTTTCTAGGATTATTGGTATACAAGTAATTTTGTTGGATAGGTCTTTCACAAAGCAGTGATCTATACATGTGAAACTGATGGACCTTGTAGGTAGGTTTATATAGGACAGAAATCCGTTACTTGATAGGATATTCAAGTATTCATTTGTGATGGGATCATTGTCCAAAATATTTATATTGCCATCTCCCAAGAAAATATGTTGCTTTAAATGAACTTTATTTTGATTTTGAAAAAAAATTCGATATTCTTCAAAAACTCGTGGGGTTCTGAACATGGCGGACGATAAATTGCAGATACCTCAAATTTGTTATGGTTAATTTGGATCATTATGTTTAAAATTTTGATTCCATCGGTGAAAGTGAATGTATCATGATTATATTGTAGCTCATTTCTTACAAAAACTATCACCCCATCGTTTTGGTTATAAGTGCCAAAGTTATACAGCGTGTCATATCCCTGCTGATTGAAGCAAGAAATATCAACCACTTGCCACGTTTCAGTTAAAACTATTAGATCAAAATTGTACCATATTTGGTCGAGTAGTATTTTTAAGTAATCAATGTTGTGTTTTATACTCCTTATGTTCATATTAAAAATTCGAAATTTTGCATCAGAATTTTGTGTACATAAATTAAGTTCATCGACGTTTTGTGCTATATTTGTTGCAATATTTGGAATTTGGAAATCATTGATGTATTTATTTACTGACATTTTTAGGTCCTCTTTAGAGATAGGAGTATCAAAAGATGAACTTGAATTTTAAAAAAGTATCCTTAAGTTTTGTTGTTCCTCATAATATTTGTACGATGGACAGTTTTTGTCGGTAGGTGAGTGGTTAATATTATAATTTTTTTTATATCTTTCATTTCCATATCTACAGTTGCAGCATTCTATTGATACATGCTTACAATTTTCTCCTTCGTGACCGTTGCCACAGTTGGCACATATCTTCTCATTCCTGCAATTCTTTTCTGTATGATTAAAACGGTAGCATTTTCTACACTGAGAAATGTCGTTATTTTGATATACTGTCAAACATTGCCACCCCAGAAGTATTCTTCTATTATTGTCTTCGAAGATTTTTTTGAATAGCTTTCCAGAAGTTTCCGCGTAGATAGTGTAATTGTTTCTTGATGGAAAATATTTTATAAACTTTACTTGTATGTCTCCACTCTGAATCATATAATTCTGATGTATAAGATCTTCTTCAATTTGCTTTTCATTCGGTTTCTCACTACTTTTATAATTTATTATTTTAATTTTTGGATTTAACATTTTTGGTTCAGTAACTTGGTATTTTTCATTCAATTTATTTTGAAGTTCATCTTTCATTTTATTATGATTTGATTCATCAATTTTTATATCAACTCCGCCATTTTTTGAGTTTCTTACACTTTCTATTTGAATGTTCAGAGATGAAAGATTTATTCTCTTACTCAATTCTCTTCTCGTATTATCGCAAGATTGTTTTTCTTTTGGAATAACTGTGATGCATTTCAGCGATTGCTTTTTAGTAATTGGTATCGTTTGTTTTAAGATTTGTGCGTATGAATTTTCTTTTACTAACTGGTTTTTCTCAACTTCGTCTAGTCTCATGTTAATTCTATTTAATGCTGATGCTATGGCATCCTTCTCAGTAATACTTGCGGTTACTGACAGCTGCTGCTCTTTTAGTTTTCGTTATTGAGCTGACGAATTATTTCCTCCTTTTCTGCTAGTGCTTTCTTCAGAGATCGATTCTCTTCTAATATCTTTTTTACATTAGTCGAATCAGGTCGATTTTCTTCATCTGTGATGCAGTTTGTTTCATTCTCAGGCTTTTCTTGTTGTTCTTCTTCTTCCTTCTTCTTTTTGCGGGTCATGCCGCTCTGTATAGTAATTACTTATGTAGTATGAATCAGGAATAACAGTCAACTTGTCAATTTTACGTCACTCCGAGGTTATATAAATATGGCCGGAAACGACTGAAAATTGTAAAATCCGCTTCACCAATATATCCAGACCCGTATTTTATCCTTATAAATGGAAACACTTCGCCAAATGGCGTTGAAACTGATACAAGTGTAGAAGATCCCTACTCCTGAGTTTGAATATGCTGGGGAGGATACGTGCTGTAGATGATAATATCCATAATTGAGTAAAGGCAGCCTTCCCATATCGACTTCAAAAATTATGTTATTAATCACCTGTTTTGGATAAGTGTTCATGCATCGTATTTCCTCAGTTCATTGACGACATGTTGGCCGTATGTAAAATAGGGATCCGTGTTATCGTATGCGCTTTTCTGTAAAAGATTAAACGCTTTGTCCAGCATAAGGTCTTTAATGACGGAAGTCTGCGCTGTGCGCTTTCTCTTTAGAACTGGAGACAGCAGCCTTTCTACTGAGGGTGTCTGATCTGCGCTTTGAATCCACTGGTGCCTGTGGTCAGACTTTCGTCAAGTTCAGATTGCTGCTGCGTAGGGGCCTCTTCTTCCTCCTATAACAAAAAAAACTATTGCAAATTAAATCAGTACTTTCACATTACGATTATTAAGCTACTGAGCACAATTTAATAGAATGATGCTATTGTAAAAAACGGTGGTGATAAAGTTTAGAGATCGAAACGACAAAAATGCATGCGTTATACTTATAGATAGTAAAGCTGGATTCACCAAAATGTTTAAAGATTACATATAACAGAATAATTTAAGGATTGATGGATTTTGGGTCGAAACGTGGGAAAATCTGTTTGCATGGTTAAATTAGTAATCCATAATATAAAATTTTATCTCTCTCTTTACCCCCCCACCATTCCCCTCCCCAATTTTTCACAAAAATCCGAAATTATTTGAGAAATGGAAATCTGCAACGCCATATTCTATTGACGTACCATACGTAATATTGCTGATTGCAATGAACAACTACAATATGAAACCCTTCAAAGGCAATCCAGAAAAGGGCTCAATTGAACGAATCTTTAATTATATCGTTTGTCTAGAGATAACAGGGTTATAGAGAACGCGTTCGGGATATTGAGTTGTGTGTTTCGTGTGTTAAGGAAACCAATTATCTTAGAGCCAGGAAAGGCATCAAAAGTTGTATTAGCAACTATATATTTGCACAACTTTTTATGCAAACGCTCCACATCACGGCAAATATATATGTCGGCGTTAATGCAGTAACGAAGTTTATGTGGTTGTTACGGTGTTTGACTGAAATTGTTCAGTCATTACAGGGAATGACTGAAAACTTTGTAATAATCAACCCGTTACGGTGTTTGCCGGCAATACGGGGACTGACTAGACATTTCAGGGAATGACGGATTTCAGCGATTGACGCCAACATATACACCACCTGGAACGTTTGATAAGAACGGACAATCTGTAGCGGGAAGATGGAGAAATGATGAGGAGCGAACAGCGTTATTGCCTATACGTGATATTCCTCGCAGAACAGCAGACCATGTTAAAAATATACCTCTTCATTTGGCGACGCGTTTTAGCACAAATGGCGCAATGCCGTGGCAAAATAATGATTGAATAAAAGTAGACTTACTTGATTTAATGTATCAACATCTGTATCCTCAGTCTGGGTAGGTTTGTCCCGGTCTGGTAGAAAACGAAAACTTTCGAAGGCGAACCATTTCGATACACAAACACTGCCCTTTCTTAAAAAAAAACAAATAAATATTGTCATTTTTTTACTTGTATAAAATATATTTGTACTTCATATTAAATACATAAGATAAAACCACTACAAATTGAATCAATACTTTCACATCCCTATTATTGTACAACTGAAAAAAAAATGAGCTGGAAATGTCGATGATGGAACGTCAAAACGCCGGAAAACCTCTTCACATTACACATTTAGTAAAACCAGATTTATTGATCCTCAAAATAAAAAACCAACTTTTATCCTTCCTCTCCCCCCCACACTGATTTTTGACAGGAATTCTAATTAGTTGCAAAAATGAAATCTGCATGTCCGAAAACTTCCGGAACGACATATTACTAGCTTTTTACAAAAAAATAATTTTTTTGACGATTTAACACCCTTTCACCCGCTTCCCTGAACCAATTTTGTTCAAAGACAATCTGAACCGTTCCTTTATTTGTACCTAAACTAACAGACAGACACGCAGACAGATTTTTCGAGAAAAAATGTTTTTTGACCATTTTTGGACGTGTTAAGACCATTAAGACGTTTTTTGACATTTGCTGTCTACATATTTCGACTTAGTTAAATTACATACCTGATCCTGTGATGTGAGTTTGTTTTTGTCTTGATTTCCCTCTTCTATAGGTGCCCATCAATGACTTCATTTTACTTTTTAGCTTATCTACAGGAATCTCCAACATTAACCTTATTTACTCGTATTTCCAGGCATCTTCCATGAGGGTATTATTGTGGTACTGTTTATGCTTTGGATCCTACACCAAATGACGTTCTTTCTATAAATCAACTAAAAGTATTCACTTTTCGTAGTCCATTTTGATTTTTCTCTAGCGCGGCAAAAATAACACAATCCGCGGTAGGAACAGAGCGAGTATTTACTGCGAGGCGCCTTTGCATACGACCAGAAACCGACTGTCGTTGGTTCACCGTGAGGCTGCCTCAAGGTGAGGAAGCTTCGGGCGCGAGGCAGGTATCCATTTTGCGAAGCATGCCTCGCGAGGCCGCCGCGCGAGGACGATACGCAGCTTAACGCTAAAACACGAAAATTTGTTTTTGTCTTCAAATCCTAATCAAAGCAGACCCAGACTAGCGCAAACGTTATCGAGGTAGGTATTTAGGTATGAGCTGATGTAGTGATTCATATTTTCATAGCTCAAATTTCAGGAAGAGAACCAGCGACCGACATCTGAAATTCAATCGTTGAAATGGAAGAGAAGAAACCCAGAACTACCAAAACCCACGAAAACGACGGAAAAGGTGGCTTACTGGTGCAAAGATCCAGGATCAAGCACTATCAAAACACCAACGAAAACTGTGAGAAAGGAAACTGTGACAACTGTCTCCTAAGAAACCAGAAACGACTCCGAGGAAAAGTCCAGCTCGAGCTGTTGTAAAAAATTCACACTCCCGATGATCACATCCGTGACTAGTACTGAATAGATGGATATTGAAAAAACTGGTGACGCTGTCGCCTCTAGTGTTGAAGCTCATTTTTCACATGACCACCCGAGTACAACAACTGACTTCACAAACATAGCTAATGATATCGTAGATCTCACAGATTATTTTTGTGTTTTTTTAGACATGTTCAGCGTAATTTTCGTGTTGCTAGCATAATTTAATTTTTGTTAATATGTTCATAAATCAGTTTTCTAAGATTGTATCAAAATAGAAAATCTTCCTAAATCACAATTCAAAGAGTATAACAGAAAACGGTGCCAATATAAAAATCCAGTAACATTATTCATATGAGCTGATTCTTAGATTATTCTTGAATAGGTATATTGCGAAAAATAAAAATATTCCTGTGAGTCAGAAGTTTTTGGGATGTTCGATGGGAAATCACAGTATTTGCGGTGAATTGCGAACTTATAGATACATACAGCAAAATAAAGGAAAATCTCGAAGTAAAAGACCTTCGAAAGTTTGGGTAAGCACAAAATTCCACTCATTCACCCGCGCTTGAAATCTACAATACACTCGTAACCAAAACACACACATGGCTTGATCTGCCTAGCTGCTAATTTCTCGTTTGACTTTCCTCAATTTGCCGCCTTCTAAAGGAAGATGTAAAGCAGCAGCGACTGATGGAAAATAAATGCGAATCTGTGGAAATGCGAATAACCAATGAGCAGAAAGGTGTTCATACGGTTTTCCAGGATTAGGAATTAGTGTAACACTATCGTCAACAATAGATAGATGGAAGTAAACATTTTATTTAGCTATAAAGGGGCATAGATTGGTTAGCAGCTAACATTATGAATATCTACATCAGCATAAAAATGGTGCAGGTTTCTACCCATAGACGATATCCTTTTAATATTCGAGTTTTTTTCGCAAATCACATGAAACGTTTGCGATTCCTTGATGGAAATTTGGAATATTTGTAGCGCCGCAGTTGGTCGAGAATATTCATTATACAGACCATTTTTTTAAGAGAGTCGGTTTAAAACCTTGATCAAAATATTTCGACCATCCAATGTCCAAACTAGGTAGGTCTAAATTTCTGTTGTGCTGCATACTTGCACAAACTCTACTGGGTTACTTTTATACCTAAATTTAACAGCCCCAATTTTTAAAAACTTCGATAATAATGGAACATAGTAGAACTAGTATAGTAGTAGGATGGATTTATGCAGCTTTCATGGCCACATACCATTTATGATACAGGGTGTAAAGTTGGAAGTGGGTCAACGGAAGTCAGGTGATAGAGGGCCTCAAAACCTATCGAATGAACCCCTATATGTGTGGTCCGAAATTTTGTAGTTCATGAGATATTTGCAATTTTATGAAATTTCAAAAAAATGGGATAATGAACTTTCAATCGCAATTACAACTAAACCATTAGGTTAAGGGCTGTGATGTTTTTTGAGATGAGCTAAATTGTTAGTTTTAGCAATTGTTATGTCAGGTTTCAACAGAGCTAATTAGAAATCAACGCAAAAAATCTTAAATTCACTTTTTTGTGAAAAATATCTTCCATACCTCAACTTTGGAGGACGGTAAAAAAATTGAGGTTGTATTTCATTATTCATTTTATTGTAAAAACAATTTCAATCCATGTAGAATAAACCCTGAAAATTTCAGCTTGCTACGATGAGTGTATCATGTCACATTCGTTGTTGTGATGCGATAAACGTAAGAAACGCAATGGAATCCTTACCACCTACAAGTACAGAACTCAGAATTCAACTAACTTTTAAAGAACATGTTAGAAATGGCCTCCATTATTTTCTATATACAAGTGACACCTTTTAATACAATTGTCCTTTAGTCTTTGAAATGAATTTGCGTTTTCTATAATTTTTATTTTTGCTTCATCAATTTTCTGGCGCAGTTGGTTGACATTTGTATATTCAGATGTATAGATTATCCTCTTATAAAACGACCATATAAAAAATCTAGAGTACTTAAATCGGGTGACCTTGGAGGCCATCGTATGTGTACTGTCCAACGCCCAGGAAAGATACTGTCTAAGTAATGCCGTACATCCCGTGCAAAGTGGCATGGGCACCATCGCATTGAAAATAAATGCGGCTTCGAATGTCCAAAGGTACATCCTCTAGCAGCTCATGCAAACTGGTTTGCAGAAAAGCAAGATATGACTGACCATTCAACCTCGCGGGCAATTCATATGGTCCAATTAATTTTTTGTTGAGTTCTCCAGCCCATAAATTAACGCCGAACTGGCGTTGAAACTGTGTCGGCGAATAGCGTGTGGATTTTCCACGCTCCATGAATGGAAATTGTGTATGTTGAATATTCCATTCTGGTTAAAGCTGGATTTATCTGTTCATAAGATAGTGTCGAAAAAAGTTTAATCCTTTTTGCACCTTCTCAAGATATTCTCACAAAATTCAACCCGTTGTGCATAGTCCTTGAAAGCAATGCTTGTATCTTTTGTATATGATAAAGATGCATGTTCTCCGAGCGGTGAAGTGGGATATGTTTCTGCTTCGGGCAATGGCTCTGGTGCTTATAGAGGGATCTCTCTCGGCTGTTTCTATTATACCTATCTTCTATTACTTCTGAGCGCATCCTCGGCGCTCCTAGCTGACGATGAGTGCCTATTATGCGGCCCTCCATAAACGCAATAATGGACGCGTAGAAAAACGCGTTAGTCGGGATATACTGCCGGTTGTGGTCCACCTCTTCTAACCACATACTGCCGATACATGCAAGCAGCTCCACGAGCATTTCCTAGGGCAGCACCATAATAGTAATGCATTTCTGCATAATCTCGCGGAGAATATGACATGATTCTACTCAGATGCCAAACGTTAGATACAAATTCCCCGCTGGAACATTGCCCGCACCTGGAATGCCGATTTGAATGCCCAAGCTCATTAAGCTGATTTGGCTATTTGCGTAAAAAATCCGCCATTTTACAAAATGTTAATACACACAGTATCACTTGCACTGCAAGGGTGAATCCTCTCATATATCAAAATCCATCAAGTCGTTTTGACTGTAGCTCGTAAAACAAAATATGTTGTTTACATGTATAGATACCCACCTGAGTCAAACTTACAAATTTTTTTAAGGTGAGGCACTTATCGTAGCAAGCTGAAATTTTCAGGGTTTATTCTACATGGATTGAACTAATTTTTACAATAAGCTGAATAATGGAATACAACCTCAATTTTTAACCGCCCTCCAAAGTTGAGGGATGGAAGAGATTTTTCACAAAAAAATGAATTTAAGATTTTTTGCATTGATTTCCAATTAGCTTTGTTAAAAAGTGACATAACCATTGCTAAAACTAACCATTTAGCTCATATCCAATACAATCACAGCCCTAACCTAATGGTTTAGTTGTAATTGCGATTGAAAGTTCATTATCCCATTTTTTCGAAATTTCACAAAATTGCAAATATCTCCTGAACTATAAATTGTTGGACCACACATATAGTTGTTCATTCGATAGGTTTTGAGGTCCTCTATCAAATGACTTTCGTTGATCCACTACAAACTTTACACCCTGTATATGTATAGCATGTATATACAAAGGAATTTTT